ATTTTTACTGAGTTTCTTACATTACATCACTGCTGTGGGCACTGAAGCAAATTTCATGACCATTTATAGGTCTGTAATGCTAAAACCAAGAGGTAACTCTAAAGATGATTCCTGTGAGACAGAAACCAGATATTCATCCACAATAGAATAAAAAAATTAACCTTCATGCAGACCACACAAGTGTATTTCTTTCTGCTCCACTGAATTTAAACCAAGATGCTGCTTTGTTTCGGAAGATCTACATATTTTACTGCAACATGAATGTTACATTGCTACACTTACATGCCATTATCTACCCACAAATTAAGTAAACACCAACTTTTAAATAGGCAAGTTTCTTGCAAACACTTCAAAACTGCACAGTGAGCAAGATTTTTTCATACATGCAAACTGCATGAAAATGCAGATGCTTGACAATCTGCATTGGGTCTTCAACAAAACGGTATCCAGCAGACTGCAGCAACTATCAGTTCACTTATGGAACCGGCCAAGCAGGTCTAATTATCATCATTATTTCTTCCCTGTCTTCGAAGACTCAGAGAGTTCTGCCCTTTGCTCTGTATTTTCTTGTCAAGCTTGGCACCATACCCCCATCCGTCTCACTACACCACTGCTCCCAGCCAGTCACCATTATTTAAATTTTATCTCCATCACTTTCACGGTTTCCTTCATGCATGGTTGGACTTCCTCAAGCTCACCGAACCTATAACAACGCCTGCGTTGCGCACCCTCAGAGACCCAATTCTGCCATGCAACTTACAGTGAATTTCGTACTCTAAACACATATATATTATAAAATATATACATATATATGGTATCTGCTCTTCCTTGCATCTGGCTGCTAAAGCCTCAGTCCTGAGAAAAGGGAGTGCCTGCAAGCAGGGAATGGCCTCTAACTATGGCCTCTAATCTACTAAGAGCTATTATAAGTAAATATGAATAGACAAATACGTAATGAAGCCTTTCAGCTCACGCTGACCTCTTCAGGCACTAGTGGTTCAATCATAGGAGCATCCTCCTGCCTTGCTGCAAGCCGAACGGGAGATGTGGAAAGCCTCTTCTCCCACTCATTAGACACAGTCGTTTCTGTGGAGGTTTCCAAGAAGGTGCGTTTCAACTCGCTTATATTGGTCTGATGTTTCATCAGATCTTCCTGCGTTTTGTCTAGGTCCTGGACAGTTTTAAAAGAATAGAGCAGGTTGTGATACATCCTAAGCCAACCAGGTTTTTGAGCCAAAACACACAACTTGGTTAGTATAGAGGGAAGTAACAGCTCAGGGAGCCAGGGAGCACAGCACTAACACAACACTCTGTGAAAATGTGGCATTTTGAAAGATAACAGCATAGCATATCTCGTACAAGTGAGTATAAATACACTCTTAAAGAGCTTATCCGTATCACTATAATTTGCACCTGATAAAGAGGCTTCAAACAAACACATATGCGCGTGGAGGCACAGACATATACGCACACGCATATATCTATATCGATAGTACAAGTTAGAGGACTCATCATAATCTGAGAAAAAAAATAATCTATTAGCAGGTGGGAGTACACAGTTCATGCATCATAGTGCAGATCCACAGTTTACCACTAAAACTAACACACATGTACGTACATGCACTGGTATATACCAATACCAACCTCTAACATAAGATTACTATGTTTGACATACACATTTTCACCCTGTATTCGCTTAATCAGACTATTCTGAAAGAAGTGAAAAAGAAAGGGAAAGGTAAGGGACATAGTATTGAAAGGATACAAAATGCTGTTTCTACACATTTCTTCACAGAGAACCGACAGTAACATGCTGAAAGAGGTGAGCACCTCCAACATTGATACCTGAGCAACATCTAGGCCTTTTGTTTCTGTACCTGTGCCTTTAGATCTCCGTCCTCCTCTTGATCCGACTGCCAGCATGAGAAAGATTGGAAAACAATACCTTACCCACTCATATCAATGAAGGCTTTACAGACATTGGTGAGAAGTACGTGCTAGGTTAAAATCACATTTTCACTATGTTAATGACTTAAGGAGAAGGAGTAGACACACTGGTATTGCACAGTTTTCCTAACTCAGAGCAAACCTCCTCTTCTCCAACTTGTTATTTGTTAACAAAGGCATATTAAATATTTTCCTTTTACAAATATTGGTATGCTCCACACTCACAGATCTCTATTCAGGGAGCTGGAGTTGCACCTTCTCACCAAGGCCATGGCTAGTCTAGGCCCAAATGGGAACAGCAAATTCTCTGGAATTCCATAATCCCAGAATTTACACATATGACATCATCCGGGCCATATGCAAAGCTTTGCATAAACTCACCACGGGCAAACAACCCACAACTCTTTCTACAGAACAAAGCACATTTTGTTTGCTTAAAATGCTATTTCCCTAGCCTCAGTCCTTTTCTGTCTTCCTAGAATTTTAATTCATATTTAGCCTGTACATATTGGCTGTGACAGTGGTCTTCTGGAATGCACACACATCACATCCACTTCAGCACACATTTTCAAAAGCAATGCCATAAGGACTGCCCCAGCAGCCTGATTTCCGAGGTTGTAATTTTCAGGAGGCAAATATACCACACATTTTGAAAATCAGGTATCCATAAGGAAAACTGAGGTTCGCTGTATCTTCTCTAAAATAAAGATGGCAGCTAGGGAGATTATCATGCATTTTCGAGTAACAGATCAAACATTCTAAATATCACAGTTTCAGGATTATGTTTTACTTTCTGCAGGGCTCAAGACCTGAAGCTATGGAGTGTGAGAGGCACTTCAAAGCATTTTGTACTCCTGACTCGTCTCAACAGAATGTATGTTGTTGAACCATTTGAATTCTTTTAATGCCCGTGCTGCTATATTATTGTTAATTTTTCATATAGTCCTAATTAGCAACATGACTCATGGGAAAATCTGTTGATTTTTTATAACTTAGTTCAAATCTATTCTATTTACAGCCGAGGCTGAATTGTCCTGACGCATCATACAGAAAATTTCATCTTGACAATAATTGTAACAGTCTCAAATATTAATGAGATCCTTCTGAAAACCTACAGTAGTGTTTGTGGTAAGACTGTCTTCTAGCAGATGTCAGACCAAATTCAGCTCATGTTTGCAGCTGCAACCATATTAATTATGAAAGCATTATATGCACTTCAGTGGAGTCACATAGGGTTGAATTTGCCTCAACAGTCTATGTACCATGTTGTGGATATGAGACTTCTCAGTGGAAGGAAAACACAAACATTTTATGATCCTCCTCTGAAGACAATACCTGGACTAGTGGTAGCAATATGTGAAAACAACATGTGAAATTACATTCGAGGAAAACTGTAGATAATTTACAATGTTGAAATAACCTTATCCAGAAAATGTAAAAAGTGTTTTTTACTGTCTTTTCCCCCCACCTCTCTCTCACTCAGGCTACAGACTGTAAGAGCAAACAAGCAGACAGAAAAAGTCAGGGCACGATCTGGCCAGCACAACCATCTGGGTGAGCAGCACTGGCATGGGTGACACTGCCACCACCCCACTATCGGCACAACACGGAGGCTTTGCAGTTTCCAAACCAAACTCAGAAATAAGAGGAACCCGTAGGGAGCACTGAAAACTCAACTCCCCCAGCAAAGCTCTCGCGCTCGCAGGCACACACATGCACACACGCGCAGAGAGGGATCCTGAACTGCCGTAGCAGACATGCGGTTTAGCCCCGATGCCCAGGGTTGGGAAGAGACAAGGAAAAATGCTCTCCCCTGCCATAGCTGGTGCCGACGACCGTACAAACCTCGGTGGCAGTGGTCTCACCATCAGCCGCAGTATCCGTCTGCTCACTGTCAGTCTATTTGGTTAGACAAGTAACCAGGTCCCGAGAGGAAGGCAGGAATAAAGAATAAACCCAGCTCATCAGTACATGCAGCTCACACGGGGAACCGTTAAACTCAACATCCCTGTGAACTGCATTAGCATTGCTTTTCAAACAACGCACAAGTCAAAGAAGCAAAATAAAAATGCTATATTAGTAAACAGAACAGACTCAGAGGAAGACTCGAGGCGTACTGAACACAGTATATGGCTTTACTGGAACAAATTTATAAGCCAAACAACACATTACTGGAAAAGTGCTATTTGAATAAAAGTTTTTTTTTTTCCTTAAGAAAGCCAGGTAGTCTTTTAAAAAAAATGGGGAAAAAAAAAGAAGCTACTATTTTCTAAACAAACTTTTCCTCCCATAATGCTTTTTTAAAGAAAATTATAAAACAGATTTTTCTTCTAGCCAATATAAAGTGGTGGTTGAATTTTTATCTGGAGGGCAAAAAGATAATTGGGGAAAAAAAAAAGCCACTTTAACAGTCACCTGACTTTCAGCCCCTCATTTGTACAGAAGTTGTTCTTGTCTCCACATTTATACACCATGAGGCTGTCTGCATTACCAAGGAGTTCAAACAACTGTACCCCCAGCCCATCTACTGTCTGTGTCTGTGGAGTAATGGTAAAGCTCAGTTCCCACTCGGTTCCAATAAAGAGCAGCCAATAATTGTTAATGGTATTAAAAAGAAAGAAAACTGTCATTAAAAGAATCAAAAATACTTCTCATTCCATTTAAGAGTATGGATAAAAGCAGGAGAAAACCAAAAGTAACTCCCACCACCCCCCGAAAACACTTACTAGGTACGAGTGATAAAAATGAAACAAAGCACAGCATTGCACAGACTGATCTATTCCTGCTCTGCTCAACACCATGAAGAACATTTTAGTGGAGAATGTGTGTCAAGATTTAATAAATAGAGTGGAGTATATGCTACTACAGGCTGAGAAGAGAGTTCAAAAGACTACTTTGATGTTATGCAGGCATATGGAAAACTAGCAAGTAAAGTGCTCCCTACTGTCCCAGATTGGCACATCCAAGTTCTTGTAGTATCAGTGAATGCTCTGGTTTTGATTAGTGATTTTCTGTGGTCCTTAGGTAATCTAAAGCAATCCAGGCAGGTAATTTAAAGCCAGGACAACGCATCTCATCCTCAAATCATATCAGTATGAACAGGAGAAAAAAAGAACCTACTGGTGGATGGAGTATCAGTCTTAGCTTTGAAATTCCTCCAATCTTCTGTCATTCTCTGACAACTCCAATGTTTCATAAAACTGGGGTTTTTTGATATTTTTTCATTGCTTTGTTTTCTACCATTCCTTCCTTTGAATAGCTTGCATTGTTTGTATGACAGGCAGAAGAATAAACAAGCATTTTGCACTATTTTTAAGTGCATGAATGCAAATTACATGCAATCTTTCAAGCAATAACCACTCACTAGACAGACCACATTTATTTTTACATGAAAATGCAACGTCAAAATAGTCTATCAGGCTGGTCCAATTACTTTCACTAAAGTGTTAGAAAATTGTTTCTTTACTAGTGAAGGATCTCACATTTTTGTAACATTAGAAGTAATTGTAAAGGTATGGCAATATAATAAAATATATGCATTGTCACTCCTATTTGCAAAAAGAAAGAAAGAGGAATTAATGAACCTACATATTTAAAAATAATTAAAAGATTTGTGTCAAGGCACTGTAACAGAAGTCTGACACATAGGGCTCATTTAAGAACTTGAAGTCAATAGAAATATTAACTGCTAAGGTACAAACACAGAAGGTAATGAATTCTAAGTGTCTCTGACTGCACAGACTGACTACAGATGCATTGCTCAAGGGAGAACAGAGCTCAACAAGGTATGAGACTGGTTCAGGATACTGGCTGTAGCCTTCTGCATCACTGTGTGCAATCTTTTGTGAACTGGCAGTGGGGGAGGGAAGATTCCTATTTCTTTTACCATAAGACCAATGAAATCCTAAGTAAGGCATAAAATTTGCTTTATTGCAAAATACATGTCTGCCAACAAGCCAATCAATAGTCATGGAGTTGAAGTCAGCATTACTGAGTTACTTGAATTAAAGATCTGGGGTTATCACAGAGCAGGGAACGGTGAAATAAGGGTGAGCAGGGCAGGTCTGCTCCGGAGCAGAGAGTAAAGAAAGGTCAGGCTCAACTCCAAGATGGGCTGTAGTACAGCTGCTGATGGGGCTGGTGGATGGGTGAGGGATGGAGCTGGACAGAAGGCAGCTATCTCCTGAGATGCTGCAGCTGCACCTCCTCTAACTTGCGATCATAATTGCTGTGATTTGTTTTGCCAATGTAATGCAGACATGCCCAAGTTTAAAACATATTCACTTTCATGCAATATTTTGAACAAGAAATACCCCGTGGATTAGGCACAAGTCTGTGTTGTCTGCCAGGACGCACTGCCAGAGTAATCACCCTCATAAAAGAGCGATACTAAAAAGCCTATTTTACACATTTTTATGCTTGATACTTCCTAACTTTACTAACAAAAAGAAGTGCTCATTTCTGAAAGAGGAACAGACCGATGTTTTACATAAACACTGTCTTGTTATTGCCTCTGGAGCTGGCACTATATTAATGCTGTTATTGCTATTAGATTAATCCAAGTGCAGAGCTAATGCAAATTGAGACCTAAATGCTGTCTCAAAATGAGGACACGAAATGAAACAGCAGTATTTTGGACGCCTTTTATCAGAATTGCACATTATTTTTTATTTGTTAGGCATCACAGAGCCAAAAGCATCGAAAGACAATGTTTTTGCAAGATAAATTGATGCGACTTTTGGCTTTCCACAAAAAGGAAATGAAATCCTGCACCAAGTCTTACAAAACCAACAACGGCAGATGACACAAATGTTTAGATGTGCAAACTGGTTTACTGAAGACAACTACTGCAATGGCATCGACAAGTGGCCAAGGTGGCTTCTTACAAACGGCCAACTGGTCTGTGATTATCTGATCTGGGTTTTCTCTTCTTTACATACGAAGCAAAACTGCACTTTTATATTTGAAGATGAAGAGGAGAAAAGAAAAATGAGGAAAAATGAACTCATTATTTTATTCTGTCAACAAAGAATAACCAGGTACCAGCAAAAACTGAGATGCCAGTTAGTCTGTTATTTAAGCAGATTTCTTTCCTATTTTTGGATATATCATCACATCCACAGTTCCCAGAATCACTGTGGGCTCCTACTGCAGTTGGTTTATCTGCCTGTGATGACTGTGGTGGCTTGAGGCATCAGCTTTGGCAGTGCTAATCTAACACTGCAAATGTCAATACAGCCCACATGGCATGTTCCCTCAACAGCTGCAGAACAGCTGTCCCAATCTGACCTCTCACTGATACACTGGATTTAACCATGGGAAAACAATTTAATCTGCAGCAGAGATAGGATCAAGGCTGAAAACTGAGATCCAGGTTTTGCTGGACCAGAAAACCTCTACTGGGGTTGGGCTGCAGCTGACAGCCTCTTGCAAAAAGCTAAGTCCTTCTGGACTTTGAGCATGCTAAAGTTGGTGAGGGTGCTCATTATTGTTGGGTAGCTAGTTGTATAAATAATGTAGATACATATGCATATATATGCATGCTTCAGGAATTGTGCAGAAAATTATGCTTAATACCCACTATTTAGATAACTATTCTAACTCTACTCTAGAATAAACTGATAGAGGGAAGAGAAAAGATCTTGGTGGGTTCAGATACAAAACTTCAGAGCTGATCAGTGGCAATTTGTTTAGTGCAAGTCACTTTGCATCAGGTGACACAGTTCAAGCCACTTCCACACAGTGTTGTGCCTAACCCTGGGCTCCAAGCTGCACTCCCAACATGAGAAAAAAAAAATTGAAAAAAAAGGAAAAAAAACAACCCCCAAACAAAAATAACCAAAAACACCCCTTCTAACATATCAGCACAGACAGAAATGAGGCTCTGAAAGTAGGACCACTATTGCAGCAATCTAACACTGGTTAGGACTGAAGCACTGAACACGAAAAAGAGTGTGTTCGATGCCGAGGTACACACCTCTTCCTCTGAACTGTCACTCAGGTCATTGGCAAGTGAGGCACTCAAGGAGGCCGCCTTGGGCTCCAGGTAGCAGAGGCACATAGCCAGAGGAAAGGAGAGAGTGAGAGCATATGGCACTGAGAAAGAGGCAGAGAGCAGAAAGAAAAAAATGAAGAGGAAGCAAGGCACAAGGGAGGGGGAGCGGATGGGTAGGTAGTGCTGCACACTGGCAGGCAGGAGGTTGGTTTCAGAGAGGTTAGGGAGGGACAGGTAGCCATCGTCATCCAGGAGTGAAGGAAATGACTCTGGAAGTTGCAAGGAGAAGGAAAACAGCGTCCCGCCTTTGCCAGCTTTTTGCTTGTAGCTAAAAGCCATGTCTTGCTCAGCGGAGCAAACTCGCCCCTTTCTGCCAGAGTCCAGCTCTGACTCGCAGTGCTTTGGAGTGCTCTCCTTGGGCGCCTCACAGCCTAAGGACTTTGTCCGAGCGCTCTCCTTGCATCTCCTGCGAAGCTTTGCTGAAGATACATGGGGGCCAGGCTGAGAGGATGGCGAGGGGTGGTGGGAGTCAGTGCCAAGCAAAGATGGCTGGTGACAGAGAAAGAGCAGCAAACAAGGCGCAAAAGCAAAAGGACAAAAAGAAAACTGTAATTAGTTAATTTTCTTTTGT